TATAATAAAGATGCKGTCACGGCAATGATTTTCCATTGTGTTTACSTTATAGAGTACAAACACTAAAACTGTGCAACATAAATACCACTAAATACTGCTAAATTATGCTAGAGTGAACGCACTTAATCCGTGCAACTGTACAAACTAAATAGTGCTTTTTAGTTGTATTTAATCGTGCATGCGGTACGTAAATGAAATTGAGTTGATACAAATGGAGCATTCAATACCGTCTTGCTTCAGGTCCACTTTTAGTACAAATTAATACTACTTAGATTTTGTACAGTTTCACGGATTAAGTGCGTTCACTCTAATTCTATTGTTTTCTATTGTTTAATAAACACTATTTTGTAGTAAATAGTGGAAAGTGTTGCACACATTTAATGTTTGTACTCTAACTATTATGAATTATTTATTAATTTGATAAGAAACTATTTTTGCTCCATCGYCACTATGGGTGTGGTCAAGGGGTGTATTGTTAGGGTACTAATACCGTGTTTTGCCGTCACTTAAAGGGTCTTCTCAAGATTCTAGAGGGTACAGTAGTCAACGTACCTGAACGTAACTCACGTAAGATGCGTGGAGATACAGTAGCAGTCGACACGTCGAATATTCTATTCGTTGCATCAGGTGCCTTTAATGGTCTTGATAAGATCATTAGGAAAAGAAAACAGGACAAGGTTAGTACTAGTTTTAGTGCTATGGTATCCCTGTGTGTATTKTATCCGAGTGAGACTAGGGCGAGTTTCAGGACGTTCTCATTAAAAGTATACCTTATTCCAAACTTTTTATGAATGCGCAATGAATTGAACGAATAAAAGTTGGCAAAAGATACCCTAAAGATATACTTTACATGTTTTAGCTGGATTTTGGACTCGTGGTTTCCCTATACATGACAATGTGCAAAATGTCCAGACGAGTTACCGACTCTTAGCATCAAAATAATTATTCGTTTAGTTAAGTACTTGTAAAGTGAGTAGTTGGATGAAGTTTTCTCGTTCGTTCGTTTTCAGTGGCTTTTTGTACCTCCCCTCGGTAATGTTCGTTATTATCAGGGCTTAAAGCGACATCGTCCATAAGCATCCCTTTCGAGCTTTTGCTCATGTTTGAAAATAAAAATACATCGTAATATTGGCAAAAACTTACTCTTTATTATCCCTTTATAATGTATGAATGGAGATACTGTAAGATTCGACCTTTAAACCGATGGATGGAAACGGATTGCGAATGGATATTCGAAGTCACCTCATTTTCCATATAAGAAAAATCTAAAACACTACCGCATTGAATGTAGCCTTCTCGATCCCCAAGCAGGAACGCCTGTTTGCAGGCTACATTGAATGCTGGTGGACCATGTCTCGTTAATAATCATAATAATGTTTCGCTTCAGGTGTTGGGATTCGGTGCCCCTACAATGGAGGACATCGCCGTTAAGGATAAAAAAGAGCTGGACATCTTTGTAAACACGAAAACCGATGTCCGTAACGATAACGCCGARCGTGACGCGTTACTAAGCGGGGTAGAAGCACGTGATCTGATTGACTTTGGAATGATCCCTGAGTTTGTAGGTCGACTTCCGGTTGTTGTTGCGCTCCACTCGCTGAATGAGGAAGCTTTGGTGAAAATCTTGACGGAACCAAGGAATGCATTGGCATCGCAATACCAGGCTATGTTCGCCATGGATAAGGTAAAGTCTTTATTTCGTCCGTCCATATCTGTCCAATTCTTGTAAAAAGGAAATGGGCTTCATTGGAACCCGTCTGCAAAAGAGTTTGGTAGTTGCAGTAGTCAGTGACCGTCATAGCTTTTTTCGCCCATCGTCTATAGAGGTTTTTCGTGTGACGTCACGTTTCCTTGACAACGCKTTGGCGGCCATCTTGAAGGTCAACMAACAAGCTGTAACAGTCAGTTGTTAGTGAAAACATGGTCGATTTTTGCTCCGTTGTCGGTTGTTCAAATCGCTCAAATCGCAATAAAAAGTTTTGTTATTGTTTCTCGAGTGTAATCACTCATCAAGGTGAAAAAGCGATGGATCTTTCGTCAAAGAGACGCGATAAATGGTTAGCAAACCTATGTCGGAAAGAATGGACGCCGAGTAAGCACATTCGAGTCTGTTCGGACCATTTCCATTCAG